GGAGCCAAGCATTCCTACCTGGATATAATCTGAGATTTTGGAACACCAGAGCAGCCTTTTCCCACTGGATTCCCAGAGGAGTAGCTGTCTTCTCCACTGGATTCCCAGAGGAAGACCAGGCCCATCTACACCACCACTGGACCTTCAGAGGAAACCTACACCCTTCTACAGGATCACTGCTTCAACAGAACCCCACCTGTCACTCCAGGAGGACTGCAGCCACCATTTAATTGGACTGCTGCCAACACCCTGACCCACAGGGTGTCAAGTTGTATTCTGACTCTGTCAGTGTTTTGGGTTTTTTTTTGTTTGTATTATTGCATTTGTATTTTCTAGTTTTCCTAGTAAAGAACTGTTATTCCTATCCCCATATCTTTGCCTGAGAGCCTTTTAATTTCAAAATTATAACAATTCAGAGGGAGGGGGTTTACATTTTCCATTTCAGGGGAGGCTCCTACCTTCCTTAAGCAGACATCTGTCTTTTCAAACCAAGACATGAAACTACAGGCCTGTTAGTCTCACTAAGGTGCCTAGTAAAGTTATGGAGAAGATCATTCTGGGAGGTATTGAAAAACACCTGAAAGACAATGCAGTCATCGGTCACAGCCAGAAAAGCTTTATGAGAGGAAAGTCCTCCTTGTAAAACCTGATTTCCTTTTATGATGAGATAATCCAGATAGGTGATCAAGGGAAGCCACTTGATGTAATCTTTTTGGAGTTCAGCCCAGCTTTTGATAGTGTCTCCCACAAGATCCTTCTGGACAAAATGTCCATCCTACAGCTGGATAAACACATCATGCAATGGGTGAGCAACTGGCTCATGGGTCGGGCACAAAGGCTTATAGTGAATGGGATGACATCACACTGACGACCTGCATCTAGTGGGGTTCCACAGTGTTCCATCCTCCTCCCTGTGCTCTTCAACATCTGCATAAATTACTTGGATGCAGGAGGGGAAGATATACTAAGCAAGTTCACAGATGATACAAAACTGGAGGAGGTCTCGACTCCCTCGAAGCCAGAGAGACCTTGACAAATTAGAGGACTGGGCAATCACCAACCATATGAAGTTCAACAAGGGAAAGTGCCAGATTCTGCACCTGAGATGGGGCAACCCTGGATGTACAGACAGACTGATGAATGAGATGCTGGAAAGCAGTGTTGTGGAAAGGGACCTGGGGGTCCTGGTTGATGGAAAGTTTATCATGAGTCAGCTGTATGCCCTGGCAGCCAGGAGAGCCTACCATGTCCTGAGGTGCATTAGGCACAACAGTGCCAGCCAGTCAAAGGAGGTGATTGTCCCACTCTGCTCTGCACTGGTGCAGCCTTACCTTAAATACTGTGTGCAGTTTTGAGCACTGCAATATAAGAAAGATATTAAGCTGTTAGAGTGTCCAGAGGAGGGCAGCAAAGATGGTGAAGGGCCTTGAGGGGAAGCTGTGTGAGGAGCAGCTGAGGTCTCTTGGCCTGTTCAGCCAGGATAAGAGGAGACTGAGGAGGGACCTCATTGCAGTCTCCAACTTCCTTGTGAGGGAAAGAGGAGGGGCAGGCACTGATCTCTGTGGTGACCAGTGACAGGACCCAAGGGAAGGGCCTGAAGCTGTGTCAGGGGAGGTTTAGGTGGGATATGAGAAAAAGGTTCCTCACCCAGAGAGTGGTTGGGCACTAGAAAGAACAGGCTCCCCAAGAAAGTGGTCATACCACCAAGCCTTACAGAGTTCACTAAGTATTTGGACAATACTCTCAGGCACATGGTATGACTCTTGGGGATGGTCCTGTGTAGGGCCAGGAGTTGGACTCGATGATCCTTGTTGGTCCTGTTCAACTCATCATATCCTGTAATTCTGGGAATGCAGCGTCACACAAGTAGGAAAGTTGCATGACCTTTCAAATTAAGAAAGAATGAGAAAAAGTGTTCTGTAGCATAAATTCAGCCTATACTTTGTCAAGAAGTCAAGAACTCAAAGTGTCTATCTGATTCAATGTGATTGATGGAGAGGGGGTAAAATTGATACATCTTAACAGAAAAAGCAAACACAGTTGTCAGATGATTCTAAAGGAGAAAAATATGTCCCAGATTGAGTTATCAGAAAGGAGAAGGAAACATTAATGATTCTTAGATTCTCTTTGCTCTGAATATCTTTTCAAAAGAGAATTATTGCATGTAAATTAAAACTTTTTTAGTTTTTAAATAAAATTAGAAATATTCATAAAACTAAATAATAAAGATTGCTCCTAATGACTCAAGCTATAGTATTAAGCCCTTTATATCATGTAAAAACACGATAGATTTATGAAGACTGTGAGATAAAATTTATACAAATATACAGTTATATACCAAAATTCTCAAATACTAAACATGATTCATAACTGTGGCAGAAGTCTTAGTTCAGAAATATAGTGTTTAAAAAATGTAATGCAGCTTAATGCATGCTTTTTTTGGTTTGTTTTTCTTACATGTAGCTCTTTTATCCTGTCCCCCACCTCCCAAGCATTAACCTCTCTGGTCTAGTACATACATGAGAATCTTTATATCCATTAAAATAAACAAGCAACTATATGGGTCAAGCTTTCCCCCATACACATTTCAGAAGAAAATCTGACCAAAAGTATCCTAAACCCTGAAGAATAAGGACATAAACAGAAATAAAAAGTACAATGAAATATTTCTGCATGCTAGAGAACAGCAAAATTGTATTAAACATGTTAGAATAAGAAATGCTGGTGTTTTATATATATATATTTAAACTTTTGTTTAAAATTACTATTATGTAAACCACAGTTCATTGTGATAAAAACATTAGGAATACATCTGATCTTGCTTTTAAACTGTCTATTTTTCCATCAAAGATTTACATCAAAACCTTCAAATTTGTCAGTTTTTGCACAAAACATTGTGTAGGTAGCAGTTGGTTCATGGATTCCCAATTTTTTCAATGAAAATTTCTTATTTTTCTGTTGGATAAGCACCTCTTTTCTGAAAAGTATGTTAGTATATCTGATTTTGCACAGGAAACAGACAGTACTAAGTTTTTTACCTTGTAAATATCACACAGTCATGCTAGCTCCCTACTCTCTGCGTTTCATCTATTTAGAATGCCTGGGATTTGGAAATTTATTTCACCGAAATCTTTGCACCCCTGAATTGATTTAGAGGATGAACACAGATCTTCAAAACTACTTTATAGAGATACTGTTGGGATGGAATAAATAAAGCAGATCCCCACTATTTTCATTAGTATCCAGTGAAAGGACAAAAAGCAATGGGCACAAATTGAATTGCAGGAAATCCTGCTTAAACATAAGAAAATTCTTGGGTTTTTTTACTCTAGGGCTGGTTGAGCACTGATACAGTTTGCCCAGTAAGTTTGTGGAGTCTCCACCTTTAGAGAAATTCAAAACCCAACTGTACATGGGCTTGGGCAACCTGTTCTAGCTGACACTGCTTTGTGCTGCAGGTGTGTGTGTGTGGACTAGACAATTGCCAGAGGTGCTTTTCAACTAAATGACATTTTCTCTTTTTCAGTTTGTGCCCATTGCTCATTGTCCTGTTACTGGGCACTGCTGAGAAGAGTCTGGCTTTGTCTTTACTCCCTCCCATCACGAATTTATACACATGGATAAGATACCTGTGCTGCAGGATTACTGATTTCTATCTCAGCCACCCACACCTGTGACTGGTATGGCCCATTGACCTGGACCCCAAATTATGGATTTGCTTTCTGTCTTGACCTTGGACCTGTCTTGCCTCTAGGGACCTACCCAATGATCAGTGGACTGTGTCTGGCCCTGGTTGTCCTCACCAGACCTGAGTCTGATTTGTGGACTGACTTCCTGGCTGGACCTTGCACCTGTGTCATCACCACAAATTTGTCTGATGATCTGGACTCTCGGTTGAATCTGACTCCCATCTCCAGATCTGCCCTGCTTATTTCACTTGGATCCTGCAGGACTAGGCCTAGGCTGGTGAGGTCTCTGCTGTGTATACCATGGTACTCAACTCCCAACTCCCCATTCCTTAAGGAGAAGACAGCCCTTGCTGCTCCCTGACAGGAAGACAGTATTGAAAGCCTTGCTAAAGTCAATATAGACATAATCCACTGCTCACTCTTCATCCATGGAGCCATTCACCTCATTTTAGAAGACTATTGGGTTGGTCAAGCATGATTTCCCCTTTGTAAATACATGCTGACAACTCCCAATAATCTTCTTGTCCTTCATAGATAGGCTTTGACTTTCCTAACATCATCCCTGCACAGTCAGACAGTCTATACAGAGTCTATAGACAGACTCTATATTCCTCTTGGGTTCCCTGGCATTGCTTCCACCTCTTGTATACTTTCTTTATATGTTCGAGCTTTGTCAGGAGCTCCTTGTTCATCCATGCAGGCCTCGTTCTACCTTTGTTTGACATCCTGTATGTTGGGATGGACCATTCTTAAACTTCAAGGTGATCCTTGAAAAATAAAACAGCTCTTCTGGACCCCTTTGCCCTGTAGGACTGTCTCCCAAGGGATTATTCCAAGCAGAGCCCAGAAGAGGCCCAAGTCTTCTCTGCTCAAGTCCAGGAGTTTGATGCATCAGTTCTTGCCAGGAGGAGGACATCAACACAAAGCTGAACCTAATCACAAGTTCTTCTATCATTTTTTGTATGTGCTGAATAAAGAGATGAAAATTACCAGCAGAATTTGAAACTCAAACCTCCTATTACTGTTTTTCCCCATCTTTTGATCAAATAACCCAAAACTATCAAGAAGTGTCTGTTCTGAAGAATTGAATCATATCTTACTTTTTAAATCAATTTTTCAAATTTATGAGTTTTTAGATATGTCTACTGATATCAGACTCCAGTGATATCAACTGCTGAACTGACAAACCTTTATTTTTTCCAAGAGAAGTTTAAAAATTTCCATTAGAGATTCAGCTTTGCCACATAAATGCAGACAAGTAAGGTTCCAAGATCTAGAAATATGAAAAGGTAGTTTCATATAACACTATACCTCTGTTTCTGCTGCATGGGTTGCTGTCTCATAGCCATATATTGCATGTCCTCTTGTAACCGATTAAGGGGAGAATCTGGTTTGACACGAATCCCATAATAATGGTATTTAGAGTTCCCCCTTCACGAAAGAACAAAAATAACATTGTTTCTTTAGTATATACATCACACATTAACATTTGCCTTGACTGGAAAACAGTACATAAGTTAGGCTTGTCTTTCACTCTGGTATAAAACTGATATAACTTCACCAGCTTCTGAAAATCAGTTCACTTAAACTATATTTTCTGGCACTTTACTGTTGGGCTTCATTTAAATAGAATAAGGTAAATAAAAAATCAACTAAATTACTTACGCAGTCATGGTGAATAAAACAATTCCATAAATGGGGTATGCTTGTGAGTGAGGATTTGTGAATGTTTCACTAACCAACTTCAGTCCTGGTCAACTGGAAAGAAAGAACAGAACTGGGCTGTCTGTGTTCATGTTCATGAGTGTCTATATGGGTGCTGGTAAAGGCATTGCCCTGTGTTAGCCTCTGTAGTTAGCTGTGTTAGTGTCATGTGTGTGTTTGTCTGCATCTTTGGAACACATGTTCAGTCTCACTGCTATCTAGAGCTGCAAATGGAAACAGCAGTAACTGCATTGATCGGACTGAGATGGAAGATATCTGGGTCATAAGAGTACATAGAATCTGGCTATAGCAGACCAGGAGTCCCCTGAGTCCTGAAGTCTGCTGGATTTGGCAACTCCCTTAACACAAAGGTTTTAAATATTTTTATTTGCTTATTTCCTTGCTTGTTTTTAACATATGAGCTTCATGCTCATGATTATTATTGATATTTTTCTGTTAAACTTGAAGATTTTATTAACACAAACCTGGTTCCCAGTCTTCTGGTCCGTAATCCCATGAAGATTGACCGTATGAGTTTTCCAAAGGAGGCAGCATTGACTGGATCTAACTTGTGCTCCTGACAATGACGTAAGTAATGGTTGTAAAGGGTACTTCTGGGGAGACTCACTCCTTCTGCAGTTTCATAGTTGTCTAAAAGCCATTGGAGCTATGTCAAATATGAAAGAGTGAACATATATAAATTCATTATTACTCTACTGAAAACCCTGGCTTAATTGTACAACATAGAACTGATATTTTTTAGACCACTCAAGGCCTGTTTAATACAGTGACTGTTCTTTGAGCAAATATAATCTTTTTAAATCTCTTTCAATGCTAGATATGCCATGATGCCTTAGTTATGGAATTTTTTTTTAGGTTTACAAGGAAATAACAAGACTCATGGCACCTGTGAGCTCAGATAGCTCCACTTCTAAAAATATTTCAGATTCAGTACCATACATTAACATTTTATGAAGTTATTTGTGCTTTCGAGAAAAATTGCTAGAACTCCAAAGAAATAAAATAACCAATGTAATTTATACTTATTGCATTAAAAAAAACCCTAATAGAACTAAGTTAATACATTTTAAATTCTGGAATGATATACTATTTCTCTTCACATGGAATTAAAAAAAATACAAATAAAAAACCCCAGTACTACATTTAACTGAATAGGGTTTATTGTCTTCCAAATACAAAGAAGAAACTATCAAATATAAGGTAAAAAACAATCTAGATGATATGAAAAATAACTTGTATAGCTATAAAGCATCATGGGCTCAATCCCTTTCTGTTGTAGCCTGTTTGCTTCCAAGAGGAACAAAATCAACTTTTTTTTTCCTGTGTAATCTATTGCAGAATTTTGGTGAGTAATTTTGGAAGCATATAGGCAAACAGTTTCTAATACATGACTGTACCTCTGTATATAACAAATAGTAACTAACATAGCTTCACAGAATATTCTGAGTTGGAAGGGACCCACGAGGATCAAGTTCAACTCTTAAGTAAATGGCCCATACAGGGATTGAACCCGCAACCTTGGTGTAATTGGCACAATGCTCTAACCAACTGAGCTAATCTCAGGGTCATGTACACTAAACTCAAGTAAAATGGTAATTTTAATGACATTTACCAGTATAAGAAAACAAAAAAATAAAAAGGAAATATTTTTATAGTTTTTATTTATCAGCAGTCCTGACTAATGGGGGAGGTCCTACTTGACTAGAAGTTAGCAAACCTATAAGGAGGGCCAGAAGGAGGATCCAGGGAACTACAGGCCTGTCAGTCTGACTTCAGTGCCAGGGAACATTATGGAGCAGATCATCCTGAGTGCCATCTCGTGGTACGTACAGGACACCCAGGGGATCAGGCCCAGTCAGAACTAGTTTAGGAAAGGCAAGTCCTGCTTGACTAACTTGGTCTCCTTCTATGACAAGGTGACACACTCAGTGGATGAAGGAAAGGCTGTGGATGTTGTCTACTTGAACCTTAGTAAGGCCTTTGACAGTGTCTCCCAGTGCATTTTCCTGAAGAAGCTGGCTGCTTATGTTTGCTGGGTAAAAATATGGATGGATGCATGCATGGATGGATGGATGGGCAGGCCAAAAGAGTGGTGGTGAATGGAATTACATCCATTTGGTTGCTTGGTGCTTCCCAGGGCTCAGTATCAGGGCCAGTTCTGATTAATATCTTTATCAATGATCTGGACAAGGGGATTGAGTGCACCCTCAGTAAGTTTGCAGATGACACCAAGTTGGGTGGGAATGTTAATCTGCTGGAGGGTAGGAAGGCTATGCAGAGCTTGCATGAGGCTAAACAAGGTGAAGTGCATGATCCTGCACTTGAGTCACAACAACCCTATGCAGCACTACAGGCTTGGGTAAGAGTGGCTGGAAAACTGCTGGTCAGAAAAGGATCTGGTGCCGGTTGACAGCTGACTGAACAAGCCAGTGTGTGCTCACTTGGCCAAAAAGGCTGATGGCATCCTGGCTTGTATCAGCAATAATTTGGCCAGCAGGGCTAGGGGAGTGATTGTGACTGTGTTCACAGGGGTCTTAGGATGAGGGAAGAGACGAGGATTTGACTCCATGTTTCAGAAGGCTTGATTTATTATTTTATGATATATATTATATTAAAACTATACTAAAAGAATAGAAGAAAAGATTTCATCAGAAGGCTAGCTAAGAACAGGAAAAGAAAGAATGATAACAAAAGCTTGTGGTTTGGACTCTCTGTCCGAGCCAGCTGGGCTGTGATTGGCCATTAATTAGAAACAACCAACATGGGCCAATCAAAGATTCACCTGTTGCATTCCACAGCAGCAGATAACCATTGTTTACATTTTGTTTCTGAGGCCTCTCAGCTTCTCAGGAGGAAAAATCCTAAGGAAAGGATTTTTCATAAAAGATGTCTGTGACAAGTGATTGCCCCCCTGTACTCAGCAACTGTGGGGCCAAACCTCTAATCCTGTGTTCAGTTTTGGGCCACTCATTACAAGAAAGACACTGAGGAGCTAGAGTGTGTCTGAAGAAGAGCAATGAAGCTGCTGAAGGGTCTGGAGCACAAGTCCTATGAGGAGCAGCTGTAGAAACTAGGGTTGTTTAGCATGGAGAAAAGGAGGCTCAGAGGGGACCTTATCACTCTTTCTACAACTGCCTGAAAGGAGCTTGTAGTGATGTAGATGTCAGTCTCTTCCCATAAGTAACAAGCAGTAGGAAAAGAGTAAATGGAAATATAGGAAAAATTTCTTCAATGAAAGGATTTTCAAGCATTGGAACAGGCTGCCCAGTGAAGTGGTTGAGTCGCAACCCTGGACATGTTTAAAAGACATGTAGCTCTGGCATTTAGGAACATGGCTTAGTGGTGGACTTGGCAGTGTTATCAGTTGTACTCAATGATCTTAGAGGTCTTTTCCAACCTAAATGATCCTATGATTCTATATTTAACTTATGGGATTTCAGATTTTTGAGGATACAATCATTTTATTTAGCTTAACCCTTCCTTCTGCCATGGTTTCATATCCTTGGAATTTCCCTTTAATTTCCACTTGAATTTCCAAATTTTGTTTTTGTCTTGTATTTACTAATTAGTTAAGAAAGTAATTATGCCAAAATGAATTAGAACGAACATCCAAATTTTCCAGGTTCACAAATCTTACAAAAAGTCTGGACTTAGTTTGAGCATCCAATAAATCCCCAAACTATGGATTTGGGTTTGGCATTTCGAACAAAGTTTTATTCCAATATGCTGGACCTTCACACGATTGTTTAATTCATTTCACTTTAGACCACCAAAGTAATTAATATGACCAAGATATGTGTTTAAAGTACAGTAAAATAGATAATTGACATTGAATATGCTACTCTGCAGGGCTACTAACTAATAGATCACTGAACTAATTCTGTTCTAGTAATGTTCCATATAACTTGTCATTTACAGAACAAGAATATCAATATTTTAGTGCCCATTACTCTTGAAATAAGTTTCCACTCTGACCCTTCTTTATTGCAGAACTATTAGTAAAAATTAGATTATAATGAATATATTGAACATACAGTCCTGTTTAAGTCAGTTGTGAGCAATTTACTGAACACAATACATGAAAAATGAAAAAAAAATTAGGAAAACATTTACTCAAGACCTTTCAAAGAACAACTTCATGTTTACTTTCTTATAGACAACATTACCAGAACTATCATGCTTAGGTTTCTAAACAAGAGCTCTGTGTAAAGATGTAGGAGAAGCACGATCTAGCTGTTTGCAAAATGGATGTAGATAATGTTGCACTTTAAATAAACATTAAAAAGTGCAGTTCATCATCCTTATATCAACTTCTGGGTATAAATGCAGTCCTAACAGTCACAATGTTTTATCAACTTGAAACAAAGCCTAGGAAAAATATTTTAAACTTTTACCTTTACATGAGTGTATTATCAAAACCATTTCACTATATCTTAATTATAGCCTTCAAACTTATCATTTAAGCTATATCAATTAGTTTATGGAATATGAGCAATTTGTTTTATCTCACAAAGAAAAAATTACTGACAAAACCCCCAAATTATTTCCAATTTAACTTCTAAATATAGTATTAAATTCTTTTCTAGATTTATTATAATTTATTAGGATTCATTTCAGTGCATTTTACTAATGATCTGTATTTGACAGATATTCTTTCAACCACAGCTTGGCATTAGCCAACAATGGGAAAGCAAAACCCAAGATAAGTACAAAGTAAGGATATTTGCTCCAGGGTGAAAATATTTCAATAAAAAATGGTTGAAATGATTATTTGGCAGGTTACAGCCTTCAAAGAAGAATGTCAATAGCTGAATGCCATGTAAAAAAGTAAATAATCTGCAGACATGATAACATTATCGCAAACAGCCTTAAATACATTTTTGTATTTACAGAAATCTAATTCTAAAATTGAATTGTTTACACTTTGACCTGTTGATTTATAATATTAACAACATTAGAATGGTATGAAATGGTTTATGCAGAAGGGGTAAATTGACTACAACTTCAATGGAACTCCAGTATTTAAAAATCATTAGATTATAAATTAGTCAACTCAATCACATACAGAAAGAAATCAGGAAAGAAAATAAAAGATAGTATTTTTTTTTTAAACCATTAAAATAAACAGATATTGTAGCAGTGCGGGGTTTAGATAGTGGTTGCTGCTACCTATATTCCCCAGTAAGTGTCTCCTGTGGAAAAGCCACTTGGGTAACCATTCAGGCAAAGCAGTCAAGTACACACACACCACGGCAAGCTCAGTGAAGAGAGGCAGAAGAGCCTTTTATATGGTCAGTTCCAGTGAGGTTTATTTCAGCACACCGAAGCGAAACCAGAGACAAAAAATGAACCATGTGCTATGCACAAGGTTTAAGTAGGGGAGGGCATGGGGGTGGTACAACGGGCAGGGCAAAGGTGATTGGCTTTTAGGGAAGATGGGGCCGGCCACCAGGGATGCCACAACCAATGAGGAAACAGGGAAAGGAGAAACCAGGGGAAATTGGGACATATGGGGAAATGAACTGGGATGGATTGCTGTTAAGCAAGAGTCCATGAGGAAGACCTTTCTGTCTGCCCAGGTGGGGAAAGACTCTATGGTAAGTCTCTCCAAGGGAGGACTCTGAGGATTTCCCTGAGGGGGAAGGAATCAGACGATTCCACAAGGTATTATTTAAGGCAACAAAATACCAGCTTAAGGAAGAAGATAGGACTAAAACCATATTTACTGTCCTTATTTGAGTCACAACTCAATAAAAGTTTCTAAGAAAGGGAAAATATCCAGTGTTTAATCTGAATTTCATTAATTTCTTCCAAAATGACTGAGGCTAGGAAAGAACATTTATTACACCAAGACACCTGGAGGTCTTTTTTTTTCCCCACAGAATCCACAATAGATCCTCTATTTGTCTTTCAGTAGTTTTGAAAATACCTCAGAATATTTAAGAAACATCAGAATAAGACTACCATAACAGACATGCAAACCTCCTTATTAGAAACATATTTTCATAAAATCATAGAATGGTTTGGGTTGGAAGGGAACTTTAAAGGTTGTCAAGTCCAATTCCCCTTCAGTGATTAGGGACATTTTCAACTGGATAGGGTTGCACAGAGGCCCATCCAACCTGACCATGAACACTTCCAGGGACGGGGCAGCCATAACCTCTCTGTGCAACCTGATTGTTTCAATGTCTCACCATCCTCATTGTAAAGAACTTCCTTCCTTATGTTCAGTTTAAATCTATTCTCTTCCGGTTTAAAGCCATTGCTCTTTTTGCTGTCACTACAGGCCCTGGTAAAAAGTCTCTCTCCATCTTTCTCATAAGTCCCCTTCAAGTACAGAAAGGCTGCAATAAGGTCTCCATGGAGCCTTCTCCAGGCTAAAAAACCTCAACTCTCTCTGCCTTTCTTCATAGGAGAGGTGTTCCAGCCCTCTAATCATTTTAGTGGCCCTACTTAGACACACTCTATCCCACTATCTAAGCTGTTGATGAAGTTATTAAATGGAAATGGTCCTAGTACAGGCCCTTGAGGGACACAACTCATTACTGATCCTTGTTTGGACATTGAGCTGTTTGCTGTTATGCTTTGGATGCAGCCATCCAGCCAGTTTATCCATCTAAGAGTCTACACATCAAACCTATCTCTCTCAAATTTAGCAGCAGGAATGGTGTAGGGGGCGTTATTGAAGGCCTTGCAGATGTCTAGATAGGTGACATCCATATCTCTCCCTTTGTCCACCAAATCAGTCGCTCCATTGTGCAAGGCCACTAGATTAGTTAGGCATTATTTGTCCTTGCATGTTTCTAGGTTGTCTTAACATGATCTAAATCTCTTTCTTCACACTTTACAGAATTCAATTTCCTTTACCTAATTTTAGCATTTTCTAAGAAAACTAAATTCTCTTCCAAGAAAATGTACTGGCTGTCTTTTTCTACCATGATGATAAACTTTTACAAAATATTTTTGGTATTCACCTATTCACCTCCATATTACCACATTCTTGGGGGGGGGGAATGTCAACAAATCAAAATAAGTGTATAGACTACCCAATATACTCATACATTCATATTACAATCAATATTTTCGGTGGTAAAAAAATACAAGAATGTGAAAAAATATGTAGATTTATGTTTGTTAGTAACGCTGAGAAGCAAAAAGGATGCAGTATGTATAGCAATTTAGCAGCAATTAAAAATACAAAACTATTTATACTAGCTGAAGAAAAACCATTTTGTTTACATAACATTTCAAGAAAGACTAGCACTATTTAAAAACAAACTGAAAATTAAATTTTGAGCCTTACTCCTTTACCTAAAAGTTATATTTAATGGCTTTGCTACTATATTTGCAACCATCTTCTTATGCAAACATCTTCACCCTTTTATTATGGAAAATTGCTAACTACAGGATTTGTAAAGACAGAACAAAGCAAAAGGCAGAAGAAGCAAACATGTTAGACACTAACAGATTGTTTTAATTTTTAAATCTCATGAGATGAATCTACAGAATTGCTATACTAAACTTATTCAGAATAATAGAAATATTTGAAAAGAAATCCAAAGTATATTTTTATCCAAACTGTGTGCAATACTTCTTTCCCCCTTTACCTGCTCCTAAATTATTATATCAAGTACACAAATTATAGAAAATTAATTTTGAATGTCAAACACAGACTACCTAAGGTTTATTTGGCTATTATTTTTACATTTACATTGGGACCTGCAAAATAGACAAATCTGTTAAGTTGCGTTAACACAATACAGAACCTAGAAAAGAAATGCACTCTACAGTGTGTCATGACACTTTGCCTGACAAAATATAGTGACATAAGATGTAGATTACAAGCAACTAAAATGAAAAGATTACAAGTAAATATAGCAATAAATTAAAACAAACATTTAGAGGCAAGCTAAGCATGCAGAACAAGATAGAGATTAGCTTTCATGAAAGAAGAGACAACTTACATGGCTGTTGAGAAGAGAGCTTCTGTGAGTAGAAAGACCATCAGATTTTTGAAGTGTCTCAATCGCCATCTCAATCTGATAATAGATGTCATTAGAAAATGACTCAAGACAGTATAAAAGACTAATCAGAAAAATTCTGATAGGTTCCCTTAAGTTCAATAGAAATATCTAGTTTGGTCAGAGCTAAGGGATATTTTCTACTTTAAGGCCTCATCCTTAAGTCCTCATGAAGGCAAACCTCTTAGTGATGTCAGAGTGGCATTTTGCTTGCATATATACTGCAGGATCCCACTTTCAAAGTCCAATTTACTTTCCTTCCTACTCATGAAATAAGAGAAGTAGATTTACTAGTAAGCTACATTGCAAACAGTAAAATTTACTGAACATTCAGTGTTTTGAATAGAAAAAAACCCCAGAATAAAATCCTTGGAAATGCCTGTGTTTCTTCCTCTAAGTATTTGAGAAAGAACTGTGCACACTTTGAGTGTGAATAAGAAGCAAAATTTCTGCTCTCTGCAACCATAGAGTAAAATCTCAGTCATTCAGTGGGTTTTCTGCCATTAGCTTCATTGTACAGGATATCACCCCCTACAGCCTGTTAGAGCATTCTTTGAATATCCAGAGCTCTCAAAGTAAACAAAAATTGGAGGCTTACACAGACAGCAAGATCCATCCTTAAAGGAAAATAAAAAATCAGATGGGTTCAAAATAATACTTTTAAAGGAAAAAGTATTATAAACCACTAATTATACAGTAGCATTACTCCTAATACAAATGAATAAAGACAACCATAACCATTCCTATTCTTCCCTTCCATATTAATGCCTCTTATTAATTCAATGACAACAATAAAAATAAAATTACAATCTAACTGTAGTTTAGATGCAGAGCTAAAATAGCAAAACCATTGAAAGTCAATGAGACAATGGGATGTACAGTAAAAGAAGGCACATAATGACCCACATTAAATGGAAAAGACAGAAAAGCAATGGAACAGTATCTGTACATTTAAAGTCACTTATATCCACTGTTGACAGCTTTAAAATAAATCTTCCCTACACTTCTTTAATTATTACACTATTATCCAAAGAGTTTATACTGGTAAATTGCATTATTGAGTTCACTCAATATACAGCACAAAACTGAAAAATATTTTAGATTATATTTCACTTAGTGCATAAATAAAATGTGGTTTCCCCTTTTTATAAACAAATCAAATAGTATTCTTACTGTAGGAACTCTCAATGAAAAAGGAAGTATTTCTTACAACTATTTACTATTAGAAATATGTCTTTTGATAAAAGCATACTAGATCTGATGAGTATGCAAGAAATATTGCCAAAATAATGTTTGAATGCAGGTTTTTTTTCTTGCATCAGTAGAAAATAATATTAAGTCAAACGATTCAATCAGACAGAAAAGGTCAAATTTAAAAGGATGCTGTATATTAAAAATTAGAAGTTTAGGATTTCATCATACTAAGATCAACTCACTATATAGTGCAACCATAGACTCTCCCATTTTACCATGATATTATAACATCATGCAAAATTTAAATTATAATTCTGAATCTCACTCCACTCTGACAATACCTTTTCTACAGCAGTACTACAGGGCTGAAGTCCTGCCTCCTGGTGCTCGTTCCACCTATTACACTACCCTCTCATTTCACTGAGACAAGTTTGTGTGACCTGTTCAAAGAACCAATTTTTTAAAATCATAAATCATGAAGATATATATAATCATAGAATCACAGAATGGTTTGGGTTGGAAGGGACCTTAAGAATCATCCAGTTCCAACCCCTCCACTATGAGCAGGGACACATTCCATTAGGCAAGGTTGCTGAGACCCCCATCCAACCTGGCCTTGAATGCTTCCAGGGATGGAATAGCCACAACTTCTCTGGGAAACCTGTGCCAGGGCCTCACCACTCTCACAGTAAAGAATTCTTCCTGATATCTAATCTAAACCTACTCTCAGTCTGAAGTCATTCCCCCTTATCCTGTCACTACATGCTCTTGTAAAATGTCCCTCTCAGGCTTTCCTGTTGGCTCCCTTTAGGTACTGGAAGGCCACAATAAGATCTCCCCAAAGCCTTCTCTTCTCCAGGCTGAACAACCCCCACCTCTCTCACCCTTTCTTCAGAGGAGAGGTGCTTCAGCCCTCAGATCAGTCTTGGTGGCCTCCAGGGTGGGTCTCACCAGAGTGAAGTAAAGGGGCAGAATGATCTCCCTTACCCTGCTGACCATGCTGCTTCTGTTGAAGCCCAGGGTACCATCGGCTTTCTGGGCTGCAAGCACACATTGCGAGCTCATGTCCAGTCTCTCATCCACCAGCACCCCAAGTCCTTCTCAGCAGGGCTGTTCTCGATCAGTTCATTCCCCTGACCAACACCTTGCACTTGGCCTTGTTAAAACTTAAGAGGTTCTCATGGGCCCAGAATTTAAGCTTGTCCAGGTCCCTCTGGATGGCATCCCATCTTTCAGGTGTGTCTACTGCACCACTCATCTTGGTGTTGCCAGCGTACCCATGGCCACAGACCCATAGATTTTAAAGCCAGAGATCTTAATGATTACTATGATCAGCTTGTCTTATTTTTTTGAATAATGTAGGTCAAGAGGTGTTCATTGCCTCTAAAATTCACCCTTAATTCACCTTTCATTACCCTCATGAAGTATTACTGAATTAGAGCGGGTCTTCCAGAAAGACTTTTGATCTATATTTGAAATTATAAGTATTCATCATATTCTAGAGTAACTTGTTCCAAAAGTAATTGTAATATATAATGTAAAATAATTCATGCTTAAGGGGAAATGTATAAAATAAAATTTGTAAAATGAATTTAACATCCAACGAGCCTCTGACCACAAACAACCTGGAGACAGATTACTACATTGGAATTCTGAAACTCCTGGTGGCAGCAGGAGAACAATGCCTCATTAACTAATAAAAGAACGCGGCCGGCGCAGAGATGGGTTTCCTCCAGAACCATCAGGGAATACCCAAGGACGATCAGCACTTGATAGATATCATCAATCAAGATAACCGAAGTCATGGAGAAACATACATCTGAATACACGACTTCCCCTGACATGATCAGCACCCGCCACTACCCAGGAAACAGCAATTGTCCAACCCTGCACAGTGAAAAAAACTTCATACATATGCGGGGTTACAAAAGAAATCGGGGCACCTCTGCATCAGGCATAAAAAACTGTATAAAACAGCCCCACTGGAGACAGCATGGGTGAACAGAGGGATATCCGATGCGACAGAGGTTGGATCTCCGTTCACCCAGCGCCAATCCCAGGCTCGACGCTGTCTCTTTGACTGTGGTTTTTGAGGACCGTATTTTGGTCATGAAAAAAATCTTTCGCATTTATTAATTTGGCTTTCTTGTTGATCATTTATAACAGTAATTATTTTCATTATTAAACATTTTGTGCAGTATTCCTTGTCTAAATTTTGATGAGTTGCCTTTTAAGCTTTACCTGTATTGTGGGTTTGGTTTTTTCTGTGAATTTTCTCCCATTTGTTACCTGAAAAGGGGGATGCTGAGAGGAAAGGGGAGAATGAATGATGGGCAATTAAGGTACAAAAGAACTGGCCAACGACCGTTGCATTCCAGTGAAAGCTTCTGGGGAGAGAGGGCGGGAATCGGGAATTGGGCACTGGCTTGCTGAGGGGCGAGCCAGCTGGCTGGGCTGAGATCAGGTCAGTGCAGGTGGTTTTTGGTGCTGGACCCTTGCTGCTGGGGAATTCTTGCCTCCCCCATGGCTGAGCTCGCTGCTTGCAGGAGCTGCCAGTTGATGGGGACTTTTCAGGACTTGCCTTTGCTGGGAAGACCCATGCCTATGTGCATGGGTGCTTCAGGGGAAACCGGATCCCCCTCACACACAACTCCTCACTCCCTTTCTCTGGAGCTGCTGATTTAACTGGAACCTCGGCTGCTGCCATCATCAGGATACCATTTCGTGCATGTGAGAACCCAGGGAAAACTATACTCTCTCCCTCTTACACACCTTCTCTCTCTCTCTGAGGCTGCCATTACCTCCTGGGGAGGCTCAGGGCTTGCATTGGCTACCCTCTGAAGCCGCAGGGGAGTCGCTGTAGCCCCTCTGCCTTGACATGAGCCAACAGCCCCCCCCTGCTTGGTTGGAGTCATAACTACACCAAAGGGAAACTTGCTTAACAGATGGGAAAAGGCTGTCATTGGGTTTTCTCTTTTTTTCTTGCTGTTGTTTGTTTTGTCTTGTTTATATATATATATATATATATATATATATATAGTCTAGTAAAGAACTGTTATTCCTTTTCCCATATCTTTGCCTGGAAGCCCTGTAACTTCAAAGTAATAATAATTTAGAGGGAGAGGGTCATCTTTCCATTCCATGGGGGCTTCCTGCATTCATTGGCAGACATCTGTCTTTTAAACCAGGACAACGTGCTACTGAAATATCTCTTTACCATCAGGTAACTTTTTCCCATGCAGGGACCTAACCATAGACAAAGCAGCTCTTAACCTTCTCTAACATGTAGTTAATGGCTCACCTTAAAGGCAGATTTTCTAGACAATGAATCATTTGTCTGGCTCATTTTGAAAACTTTCAGCTACTTCTGGGCTCCCTCTCATTCACATTTATTTTATTTTTAAAAATCCCAAGCTTCTGAGAGGCTTGAGTCCTCAGGCTTTCAAAATGTTCTATGTGAAACAGCCCCCTGCATGTTGGGGAAGTAACAGAAACTTTAATGGCAAGTATTTTTAATCATATATCTCAAATTAAATAGTGGTTATCCCAAATAGTGGGGTTTTCTTTTTAATTGTAGCCTTGATATTTTGGAAAAAAATACAGAAATAAGTTGAACATTTGAAATTATGCACATATCGTTGAAATTATTTTATGCGCATATCAAGGTTAATTAATTGCATTCCTTACATTTCTAAGGATGATCAATCAGAAGTTACAGGCCTATTTAACAACTGGAATGCTAATTGACAAAAAAATCACACCCCCATCAGTTTGAATGTGTGATCAGTCATACATTTCTTCTCACTGAAAAACTATTTCTATAT